TGAATATTGTGATTTAATGTTTCAAATCTCAAAAATCTTTCGAATAATATTATTAAGCATTTTCTGGGATGCACAAACATGTACAAACATGTAAAATGTTTTTTAATAAGCTCTTAAAAGGCTGTATTGAAGATAAAGCCTAAAGAATGGATGTTTCATTCAAAAAGAATAAGTTAAAGAATTCCTAGATTCTAAATTATAAAAAAGAGATCCAGAAGAGGAGATTTTCTCAGTTTTTGAAATGAAATAGATAGAGGAGTAAGGTTGGACGCTAGATTCTCTAATTTTATCCAGAATGTCCATTAATCTGCTATAATTTTGACAGAGAGAGTTTTCCTCCCAATTCTCGTGTATAGCAAAAAATGAAGCATTCTTGAATTCACCAGAACGTAATGAACAAGAAAGTTTTAAGTTCGTTGTTATTCAATTAAAATCGACACACTAGACATTAAAAACAATTGGATTAGAGTCTTCTAAAAAGTTTTTCTCTTAGGACACAAAGAACATGATCAACAGTCCTTTATAGAGGCTTGAGTAGGTTACCTAGTTGACTCGCTGATTATATTTTATGTCTGCTACGAAACTTGATTACTTTCCTCACAAAAAGATGCAACCCAGACTACCGTCATTTCATATAACATCCGTTAAATTTATATTCAAAAAAATTCAAATTTTTTATGGCCGTTATAATATTCAAAATTTTTTGACGGTTAAACCAGATTTTACCATGCACTTACTCATTTTGCTCAAATTTTATTCTTAATAAAGTTGAGAATGGATAAAAAAAATATAAAATAAATAATTTATGAAGAACTTTGGGATTTGTGCTGAATTGGTATTAATTAAAATAATTTATTGTTTACATAATGTAACTGTTTTTTGAAATTTGAATTTTCGGCTCTAATATCGAAGAAATCGAAATTAATTTCGAAGAAGTCCGAAACGAAATGGCGGTAGTCTGATGCAACCTATCAAGTTAGATATCAAGGAACTTAACTGGAATTCCTAAGTTTTGTTGATAATCATCACTTTACAGTACAGCAATAGTATTTTATCATCACTGATCCTAAATTCTTTACATACAATTTATTGAAAAAGATATAAAGATCATAAAAATGCTTCACATCCTTGACTCTAAACCAAACATCTAAATTACTTGTCGCATTAAATAAAGTTCAAGAGTTAGTAAAAAAAGAATAAAATGAGAACTTTTTTTATGGTGCGATAGTTTTTCATTGAATTATTTTTCTACTCTTTTTTTGGCCATCCCTCTTCAACAATTCAATTTGAAGTGTTGATTCATTAGGATATTCAAATGAGGTAGGGACACACACTCACATTTGAAGCACTTGGAAGTAATTTGAAAAATGTGTTTGGGACAATTTTTTTGCCATAAGCTTTTTTTTCTTTTACATATATTCCTCATTATAGAGCCGTTCCTATAATAACAATTTTTTTTAAAAAAATAAATTTTTTGAACCTTTTTTTCAATTTCTTTTCTATTCCTACATCCTACATATGGGTATTCTGTCATTCATAAGTAATATGGGGAATATTTTGAATGAGTATAAAGTGACGAGAATTGAGAGGACATATGAAGGATAAATGAGAAAATAGTTTAAACATTTCCTTATTCACTTATGAGGAAGAAAAACATTCATTCCTTATGCGTATATTATTAGATTTCCCTTTTTAAGCCATGATGAGAATTTTTTTCTCGACATCCATAAAGCCAAGAAGGCTTTCAGTAAATCTTCTGTTCTCTTTAGCAAACTTATGTATTATTATACATTTTATTATGGAAAAATTGAAATGTCATGTTTATCATGAACGATGAAGACCTTCTCCTTCCCTCAAACTTCTAGAATTCCTTCCATTTTTTGAGTCAAATTAAGTTTTTTTCATCATCTCAAATTTTTTTATATTCTTTCTTTTTTTAGTGTGCTGCTAAAGGGCCATAATTTTGCTATGAACTTTTTTTATGATATTGTTGGATTCTCTCACTTTTTGCCTCCTAGTTACGAACAGAAAGGATAAAGAAGCTGATCGTCAAGATAACATTTTAGCTCATATTTTTCTTGTAAATTTAATTAGAGCGTAAAAAAATTTTACGGGCAGAATCATGTGCTGATAACTTTTAATGACTTACTTAATGGAATTCATTGACAAAAAAGAAGAGAAAAAAGTTTTTTTTGAATTTTTTAACTGCTAGCACTAAAACCCATTCATCATAATCAAAAAGAACTGAAATGAGAGTCATAATAATTATTGTTGGAATCTCTATAAAATATGCTAGATGATGAATATGCTTGAATTTTAAAGACTCGATTATTGCTTTAAAGCTAGCTAAAACTTGAATTTGAAACTATCTTAAAATCTTTAAGTTAAGATTTCAAATTTAAAGAAGAATATCTTTAAATTGAATAGAATCAACGCCTATACTAGGAACTGAGAGTTATTTACATAACAAAAAAGGATGAAACAATTCCAAAAAGCTATTACTAGAACTAAGAAGACTAAAAGATAATAATCACAATTATCATTAATTTTGATGAACGAAGTTTCGCTACAGGAAATTACTTTAAAAGAACTTTATTTGAGTCTGCCAGATACATCCAATATTTCCATTTTGAGTCATTTAATTTTTACTCACTTTATTCAAAATCGTCGCTAAGCAAATAAATGAATTTATGGTTCAAAAAGAAGTAAAACTTTCTTTCCTTTTCATCATTTTTTTTTTCATCTTTATCATCATTTATTGTCTATGAAACAAGAAGCAAAACGGCGACGACGATGAAAATGACTTGAGCTTATAACTTAAAAATTTCTGATCGTAATAAAAAAAAGAATTCAAAAAAAAGTATGAATGGGAAATTTAATGGGAGGAAACTTTAGAGTGCGATACACAAGAGAATGAGGCTGTTGAGGAAAGTTTGCTGTTCCGTAAATAGCAAGGCCTTCAAGGAAAATGATTAACAAATGAGGAGGTCGATTGGGAGGTGGAATGAGAGGAGGTGTCTGAAAGACATAATAGAATGAGTAAAACTTTAGTTGATTGTGATAAGTGGCAACATTCATCCTCCTTCCTTTTTATTATGTTATTATGAGCGTAGAAAAAAGGCTGCACATGAAAAGTAGAGCAATAACTTAATTTGTGTATCAGCCCTAAAGGTTATGTCGCTGGTAAATTGGTAAATAAGGAAAAACTTTTTTTGTTCTCATCCGTTCAACATGTTATGGCTTGCTCCTCACAACAACATCATCGTCTCCGTCAGTTTTATGTGTAAAATATTAACAATAACAATAATAATGTAAAACGCATTTTTAACTCAATAATCTTCCTTTTTATCATCGTCGGCCATAAGAAATAATTTTTACGATTCTTTTTCTTCTTTTTTACTGTCTATATGAAGACTTTAAAAATATTCCTCTCCTATGCTATATCGTTTGAAAGCATAAATTCTTACATTGTTATCTCTCGTCGTAGTGTGGAGCAAAAAAAAAAATTCATTCGCCGATAATGGCAATTCTAATAAAATTTTATTATTATCTATTTCTTCTCTGCTCGTTGTTTAACACCCAGTTGGAATAAATGCTTGAATTGAGCTGTTGATCTGAATAATTTATAAGGAATTTTAAAAATTGTGGAATTTTTTTTGATGATTTGAATGAAGTATGTCAATATGCATGTGGATTACAACTTCTTTGAAAAATCTTTCAATTTTCATTGCTTTTGAGACTTATTTTAATTAAATTTTGAGCAAGATGATTCTTAAAGGTTACCTTAGAATCAAGGATAACAATTTGAGCTTTTCAAAATTTTACTAGATATTCAAAAGTTGTAATTATTGTGAATTAAACTTAATAAGATTAAAATTAGATCTTAATCAAGTTGTAAACAAGACTTCACAGCAGTATCTTGCTACTCACAGAGGCTTTAAAGAATCAAGAACTTAGAAATTCTGTGAATTTTATTATTAAGCTTCTGGAATTCTTTTCATCACATGTACCTTCTTTCTTGAATATTCCTCAACTTTGTATATGCTCACCATGCTGTTTAAACTGACATATCATTTACAAAAAGCAAGGATATATTAAATTAAATCATTTTAAAATCGTTGAGTTAAATTAAAATGTCACAAACATGAACACATTTTTTTCTTATTTTTTCCAAGCTCATAAACTGAGTAAAGCTTCCAATAAGAAAAAACAAAGTCATTTCCAAAGACTTTCAATTGAAAAATCAGCAGCATTCAATTTAATCAGCATTTAATTAAACAGCAACATTGCAAATTCCCAATAAAACCAATTTTCATGCTGGGTATCGGCAAAATATTATGGGTACGTATAGACTTTTCAAATTTCTCCACACCCTCCCGCCTCGTTGGCAATATTATTAAAGTCATCATGATCATCCACTTTCTTGATGCCTATTCGATCAATGAAGTAGAAACATTTTTATTTTTGGATGCGGACTAGAGCACGATTCTGTGTCGACTTGGAGTCAAACTGAAGTCAAGTCGACCATTAACGTCAACTCGGTGTTTGAATCGACTCAAAGCTGTTGGAATATGCGATTCCATGTAATAGCCAGTCAACGATAAATCATGTGGTGCAAGGGAACAGTAAAAATAGTGTAACTTATATATGGGATTTAGCCATACAGTCGACTAGCTCAGTGGTAGGAGCATGTGGCCGGAAATCGTAGGACGTGGGTTTGAATCTCACTCTGGATCCGTTATTTGGAGTTATGAAGTTTGCTTCTTTCTTCTAGAAGCAATTCTTGAAGCAAATCTTTCAATAGAAGCAAATGAAGTTGATTTAAACAGACTAGAATTAACTCAATTCAACTTCAAGCTCTGTAAACCACAAAACAACATAATAGTAAATAAAATAAATCCAAACTGATTACAGCTTTCATTCGACTATGTGTCTGTAAAACTTTTTTTTTGGTTTTGTGTATATATGTTGGGATAAAATTGTGCACATGGTTTTTTTGGTTTAACGATTGTTCTTGCCATTAAAGCTTCACTTGTTGTAGAGTAATTTTTGGAGACCTTCCACAAAACAGAACAGCTTTTATTGTAGATGTGTACGGAAAGATGAAACAATTTTACAAACTATTATTGCTACAATTAAACAATTCATCTGATGTCTGTAGTGGCAATCGAAAGTTTGGTATGTCCTCAAATGGCTTTTCATTGTTCATCAGCTTCATATCTCGAACTCGCTCGACCTATGTAGCGTTAAATTGGAATGAAAGAAAACAGGAAGTTTTTAGAAATAGATAGGAATTAAAAGAAAATTTGAACATATAAATTTCATTTTTGGTATTATCTAAGTTTGTAATGTATGGATGTGAGGTTTTTGTATGTTTGTATCTAAATATATGGAATTAGATGGCTTTCGGTAGATTTCTGGCGCTTTTTTTGTTGATGTGTGTTGTATTAAATTAGCATTAGCTTGGCATTAGATTATTCAGAGATAATTAGCATTTAAAAGCGTTTATAGATTCAAATGGATCAACTGAAGCCTCAAATACAGTTTTCTAGAGCTTTTCACAAAAGCATAAGCTTCCAGAGTTCTAAGGGTAAGAGTACTCTAAGGTGGGTCCTAAGAACCAATCTATAAAATTTATCTTAAGCATCACATTTCTGCCTACAGCAGTTCCTTGAGAAAGTGGCGTTCACTCGAAGACTTTGTTAATATTCATATCTGAATCTGAATTATTGTAGTCTTTATGAACCATTAGGTCAATAATGCTGTCAAAATGAATAAATTTACACATTTTATTCCATTTTTTTTTGAAATCCTGCCCAAAGTTTACGACCATTAGAGATGGAAAATAAACATTTTTATATGCCAGAAAAATAAAAAAACAATGTGGAGAAGTGAAAAAGGGGCCAATTTTGTATTCCATATAGGTGTGCGACAGACACACATGGAGATGTTCATGGAATCAAGAGAAAAGAGGACGACATTTTTTTACGAAAGCATTCAATCGTATAATGACCACAAAAATGGGTCCAATTTTGACGCCACACAATAAACACTATGTTGTATGTATATGAAAGACATTTGAGCATATAAAAGAAAGTTTTCACACTGGATGTCAGCTTATATTTGTTATTTTGCTGTGGATGTGAATGTATGAATTTGGGAAGAGGTAATTTAAAGCTATACAGAAATATTTTAGCTTCTATCTGGCAGCTTTGTATTGTATTTGTTCATTTATCATTTAGTCGGAAATTAGGAGGAAGTTCGTTGGGATTCTGAGTTGGATGCGCATCTAAAAAAGAATCAAAATTTAAAATTGGATAAATTCAATTGATTCGTACTTTGGGATGTGGTTTTGATGGAACTCAGGACCCTTATGAACTCTATGAGCTCCCATTAAAGTAGACAAATGAGGCGTAATTCAGGAAAGAGTTTTGGTGGTGAGCATTTATCTTCTATCGCAGCATACAATTTTATCGCTTTGCCGTCCAAAATGCTCACAACCTTATAATTTAATCAACAAAAATGAGCATCATGAAATCTGTAAAATGCAAATTTTCCTGCTGCCATCTAATGAATTTAATCGTGAATCATGTTCTAAATGTGTAAATTCGTAAATAACCTACCTCACTCATAACACGGAGCAAGTTAGCACCAGCTAATTTAGTTAATTCCTCAACTGTCCATCCATGTCCCAAAAGCTCAGCAAATAAATATGGATAAGCACTAACATCCTCTATGCCTTTTGGTGTGCTGTAATTAATTTATTAATGTTATTAAATGCTCGACCCTCGTTTACTCTAGGACGAGGAAAAAATATTGGTTGATGTATGACTGTGAATATTACATTAGCCCAATGTGCTTGCTTTATGTGAATGCCAGCAAGCAAGCATAGCAAGAGATGAAAAATAAAATAATATAAAGGAAAATCACGTTCACATAAATTTTATAAAGCTACCCTTAACAAATAATTATTTGGTATATAGTGCGACCTTGTCTCCAACAATTAAATAATATAATACAAAATTATATCACAATAATCTCATAAGTCAGCAAAGCAATTTTCTCAGCCGGTGCTTGTTAAACGCGTTTTTCGCAAAGTCATTAGAATTGACATATTTTTGGATTAATCAGTAGCTTGCTTTTGATTCTATACAGCTCTTGTTTAAAAGTTTTAAAACTTTATCCATAAAAATAAAAATGCAAATCATCGATGAATGTCTGCACAAAGTGAGAATAACAAACTTTCCAATGGTGCTTTGTCTTAATAAAATCCATAAAGAGCCAAACACGTTACTATAAATCTTCAGTTTATAGCTCTTAACTCCTTTGTACAGTAAACGTGTAATTAATTATTTAATACACAAAGCACCAACAACAATGGCAACATAAAAAAGTGAGATAGAGAGCATGGCATTGGGCAATGACAATAACAAAAAGAGTGCAAAACCCCGAATGAATGAGAATTAATGGATTTATGGGGAAATACTTTGGTGATATATATTTTGAAAATTGAATGATATTTTTATACTCACTAATTGATACCATCAAATCCCGATCCGAGACCAATGCAATCGATCCCAGCGATGTTTTTGATGTGATTAATGTGTGCTATAAATATTGGATGAAATGTGAAAAATTAAAATTAATAAAAGACTTTTTTTAATGAAATAAATTTTATTCTTTTTTTTTGGGTTCTGCATTTAAAATTCATCAGTGCTCATCTGCATTCATTCATTCTTGCATATCAGATAGGAATTTTTTATTTTTGGAATTCCAAAAAAATTAATTGCTTTATGGTGGGTCAAAAATATTGTAATTGTGGAATTTTAAAATGTTCTTTATATTGGGAATTTGTAGATATAAAGTATAAAGTCAGCCTTTGATACTCAGTGCTGTTAATGGAATGGTTAAGTGCTGTTGGATACCAACTCAACAATAATGAGTTTTAAACTCATCAGTCCATAAGTTCGACTCTCAGAATCAACCCCGAATGGCACAAGTCGGTTAATCGATCAGAAATCCGGCACCAGGCTATCGCAACTCTGACTTGGTGCTTGATTTAAATCGAAGCCAGCCTCATGACAGAGCCATGTCTGGATTTTTATTCGATTAACCAACTTGTGCTTTTCGGGAACTGAATATTTCATTAAATCACTTTAAAGTATTTCAATTTAAGCCAGCAGCTCAACATCCAACAAATTTTTGAATCATTTAAAATTTCATGATTCAGACATAAAGATAAGAAGAAGATAAGCATCGAAAAATAATTGAAATTGCAGTCGGGAAAAATGTAGCATAAAATTGTTATTTTATTTTTCATAAACCTCAATATTCATCCCTCAATTCGCGCAATATCATGCACACAAAATCCATTAAAACATTTTTTAAATGCTCATATTTCATTTGATGAAGCACGAGTAATTTTCGTTCTCAGTTTGCACTCAGTGCACTACCGATTAGCCAGGCAACAACCCTTATACAAGCTCAAGGTTTGAAGTTTTAAATTGAATTTTTAGAGTCCCAGCAAAAAATAATAAAAAAATTAACGCGAAAGGCGCTGCTCAATTATCAGCTCAAAAGTAGAACCTGCTGAATGCTATTCATCTCAATAACTTTCATGATCCATAAGTTTTTCATCGCTTATTCACAAACTATTCATTGCTGTTTTTTTTTCAGTCCTGGACTTTTCATTCTCCCTCTTCCTTAGTCATATACATCGACACATTAGTCAGCAGCATTATTGTACCAATTCGCAAAATTCTGTGCTGCTTCGAACTTAATATGTTCAGTTGAAAAATTTATTGAATCATAAATTAACCGAAAATGAATGAAAAAATAAAAAAAATGAGTGAGAGAGATGGAAATTGAAAACATTTTTATTAATACTACCGCTACCGAAACTCTCTGTGTACTGTTGCTGAAAAATATTATACTCGTTCCAGGTCATTATTAAACAATTTTCATAAAATGAAATTTTTTGGTTTTGTACAAATGCATTGCTGGAATTATTAATGTCTTTTTTTTTTTTTGTTGGATGTGATATATTCATTATATTGAGTATGATTTACGCAAAATTTAATAATTATGTATTGAGTAATACTGAATTGAACTGAAAATGTTTTTATGCCCTGCTCAGCCCCTATAATGATAATAATAATGAGCAGACTATTATAATGATATACAATAATAAAATTGAGGCTGCAGTAATTGTGTTTATATTTCAGTATGAGTTGGTTTTTCGGTTATTCGGAGAGAAAATAATTGTTATGCTGAATGAATTTTTTTTTTGACTTTAGTAGAAAAAGTTTGAATTTTAAAGACATTCGTCGGGTTTTGTTATGAGGAAAATTGTGCATCGATCACGTGGAGATTCACAGAACGTGGAATGGAAGCAGAAAAGAGTATTGTCTTTGAATCCAAAATTGGCATTTAATTGCCAGTGATTTAAAGACATCAATGGAAGATCGTGGATCACTATTGATGTATTCAACATGAACTGACTTCAAAACATCCAACAGCATCCATGGAACTGATCAAAATCTTCAATGTGTGGGAAGTGGGGGTGGGGGGGCTTGGGTGTCAAATTCTTAGGTACGTCCCTGCATTGACAAAAGGGTTATAGCTGAACCTTACTTTGTATATTTGTGCGGAATGGGTGCGAAACTGATAAATTTGATTTTGGCCAATTTTGATCATTTTTGATCATTATGATCAGTTCCGCACCCTTGATCAAATCACTTATTTTCAATAATTTCACTACATAACCTTCTAACCCTTGAAACTTTTTATGACTTTATGTTAAACTTCCTAAAAACTTTTTCAAAAATTTTCCACAAGACTGAATCCATTTACACATAAAAAATTTCAAGAGAAACCCAATAACTTCATCAAAATAAGCTCAACTTATCATTATCATTTAGTAAACCATTCATCTTTATTTTGTTCCTCATAATAAGGCGCCTCAACCACATAATAAACTTTTCTACGGTGACTTTTATATTAGTTTGATGAAGTAGCAAAAACCCATTAAGAAAGTTTTCTTACCATCCAAGTCTCTCAATCATAGTTAGTGCATTATGAAGAAAACATTTGTGAATGCATTAAAAACTATGCTCCTTTAGCGATAAATTTGATTTTCTCTCTGCTGTTTTTCATTTATTCATGGTAAACACTTCAGAACTTTTGTTCATGAAATGAAAATATTTGCACTTTTGAGAGCAAACGGAAAAATATTTTACGGAAATTAAAATAGAGTAAAATGACTGTAGATCTGTATGTTTTTGTTGGGAGTCGTGCAATGATTGATTTCAGGAGTGTTGACAGGGATCGGTTTTTCATATATATTTTCTAGTTGAAGATAAGTTTTACTTGTGGGCCAATATAAATTTTCCTAAGAGGTCGTTCACTTGTGACGTCCGAAATTAACGTTCAATTTTCATAATTGATCAATGAATTTCCAGGAATTCTATTTTTCTTTTCTGTGACCCCCCCCATCCCTCTGGACATTCTAAAGTAATCCTTAAAAGTGTCCTGGTTTTAAAATTTAGGGGTCTAAATCTTGAATTAGGAGTCCAGACCCCCTCGGATCATTCACTGACTGCGATCAAAAGAGGTTTTGGAACTTGAGATTTTTTTCGTTTTCTGGCTTCAACCTTTCTTCTTCCTTAGGTTGGGGGCCGTTCACTTATGACGTTTAGGGAGGGGGGGGGGGCAAGAAAAGAACCATAGAAATTCCTGAAAATCCATTGTTCTTTTTTGAAAAATGACTGTTAATTTCGGACGTCATAATTGAACGTCCCCTTGCTTAAAACTTAATTGTCGATCTTGAAACCAAACAATTACCATTATCGGAATAAAGACAGGAGGTACAGTAAAAAAAACTTATTTTTAAAAACAAAATTTCCAAATACCGAACATCACATGTTAATGATCCGCCCTAAAATTCATAAGTTTTCATAGCGCATATTGAATTTTTAATCAAAGAAAATGTGTCTGACTTCAAAAATTTTTTAAACTTTATGATTGATACTTTATGCTTTAGTTTACTTAACATTCAATTTTCAAAATTCCTATGCAAATAAAACTCAGTTTAATGAGTACTGCAAATACTAAATAGAACTCTAGTTTAATCATCAAACTTATCAGATCCATGATTTCAAATAATATTGCAGCCACAGTGAAATGGATCCAAATAGAAGCCACATGAAGTAAATTTGAATATTTCTACCAGCGCATCCATTTGGAATTTAAAAGAGCTAATGTTCGAGGTAAATATTTTCAATGATTCTCAACAAGCACAATCCATTTCACCATAAAATTTGATGACTCTATAGTAGCACATAATGTCTGCATTAATACAAAGTTTTTTTAGTGAATGAACTCTTTATATTACGAAGCGATGGGATGAAAAAAAGAGCTCAAACAAAAGAGCTTTTCATTAAAATCTCGTTACCGTAAGAGAGCAGTAAGAAATGAATAAGTTTTGCTACATGCTATATTTGCATGTCGTAGGAAGTAGAAAGGTGTTTCAAGTTGAGCTGTCGTGGGTGTAGAAAAAAAGTGCTTGCAAAACATCTGTGCATAGAAAAAAATGTTGAAATAAAAGTTTTTGCGAATACGAGGAATTGATTTTTGAGAAAGTTTTAAGTTCGACACTGCAGTCGGTGTAGTTTTCTATTTGTTGCTACTTTATTGAGAGTTCAGATGACTTATATTGAATATTTGAGTTTTTGAAATAAGGTTGAGGAGTTTGTCGTGTGATTTTTAATAAAGTATTGATTTTGAATATCATTAAGATTGGATTTTTCTGAAGGAAGTCAAATCTGATCTAAATTTATGTTTTAAAAATGGAATCCGGACTAAATGATAGTTCTTGATGCAATGAAATTTCAAATGATTCCCAAAACTATTTTAAAATCAATCCCGAATAGCACAAGTCGATTAATCTTGCACTGTTCGTTTGATAATCAGAATGTTCTTTTATTAATAAAGTTAATTAAAGACTCCTAATGGATTTGTAATTAATAACAAGATGTTTATTGTTCGACAATTAGAAACAGACCAAATATTTGTATAAAAGAGGGTTAACAACTATACAAGGGGAAATAAACTAATTATAGTTACATACATAATTTGAATATGAAATGACCGTTAATATATTCTCAACATGCACCAAGCAGGCATGACTCTGGCATGGTTTCGGATTTCTATTCGATTAACCGACTGGTGCTACTTGGGAATATAAAGCACTATTTATCTTTTATCTGACAAATTTAAAATCCCCAACAACATTTGCTGTATTCCCAAAAATACCTCTTTATTAAGTAACGGATGCACAAGCTCCTCAACATTCCATCATGAATAAGTAAATTATCTTCCATCAACAAAAACGTGCAAACAACTAAATTTGGAAACTTTCCCAATGAATTTATCGTTTCTCGCATAACAGCAGCCAGCAACAAAAGTGGTAAAATGTTTCCAGTGAGTCATTTAAGCTCATTTTAAAAAAAGTGCAACATGCTGTTCTGTGTAAATTCACGCGAGAAACTTGTACAAATGAATCCAATAAATTAATTAAACTTAATGAATTATATTTTGTGCATTATTCACATTTTGTGTCTCTTTTGCATGCACATCTCCCATCCATCCATTTATTCATTCACTTATGCATTCATTCATGGAATAAGCGCGAGAACGATGCACTCCCATATGACAACTGACAACATAATTGTATAATGAATAATTTACTTACCGACTGCATCATGAACGGTTGCATTCTCACTACAACTGAGAAATTTATTATAAAAGTTGACCATCACAAGACCACGATTCTTTGTCACTTCCCTTAATATTTCATCTTGTACGTTACGACTCGAATTGCACAGCTCATATGCGGAGGAATGTGAGAAAATTACTGGTGCTTCTGTTATTGCCAGCACGTCTTTCATTGTCTTTACAGATGATTTCGATAAATCCACTATCATTCCTAAACGATTCATTTCACGTACGATAATCTGTGAGACAATTGATGTTGGGAAGAGATAAAAGAGAAAAACGAGAACAGAAGAGGATAAAAAATTTGTTAAAGTGACAGTACAATGGCAAAGAAAAAGCAAAATTGGATTAAATGTCACTATGGGGGATGGTGATAAGGTGACAAAAGCGCATTTTCTCTATGATTCTCCTAAAGGATGTCCTGAAATATGATGTCGATTAAAAAGTAATATTAGTAGAATTGTGGGACGTCTGAAAATGCAATCTATGAATGATCCCCAATTGGATATGACATCCAATTCTATTAGCTAATAGTTCATTTGCCATTACTCAACATTGTTCGTGACATGATACAAGATATGACTCCCAAGGATATTAATTCAGCCAATTTTCAAGCAAATTGAACTCCTTGTCAAGTTTGCACTTTGTTGACTGCCTAAGCTTCTGGCTAATAATTCAAATTGTCATGCCACCTACACACCCAATAACTTATACTGATTGCTATGTCAACAGTTTGCTATAAGTAATCTGACATTCGAATAAGACATCAATATCACATCGAATTAGTGAATCAGTCATTGAACTAAAAAGTTGGCATCTCAATTATTCATACTATGGATCAGGTCAATCACCCAATGTACATTTAATCGTATTTGCTTTACAATAAAAATGTGCTCAAAAGAATGTTTTTTGCAACAAAAAAATTTCTCATGACGACAAACACGTCAATGTGGTTCATTTCTCTTTTGTCTGTGTCTCCATCTCTCCAATTTCTTTCAGTTAAAGACAAAATCTCTAGATTGAGGAGAAGAAAAATTAAGTCATGGCACAGTTTTAAATTTCTATGTGAGAATTTGTACTGCAATTTAATATATAGTAGCAGCTTATCGAAGGGGAGTCGAGTGAGAAAGTGTGGGAAAAATGCCAAAAATGGGGATTGAAAGCTTTTCACACCAACGATCTGTGTATAGACAAAGGCAATGAAAGTATTTCCTCTTCTCGCTCTCTTTCGCACAACCAGCTATAATTTATTATCTCTACCGATGTTTCTTGTTCCTTCATCGTGATGCTTTTGTAAAGTAGATGAGCTTAATGTTGAGACATTTTGGGTGGAATCGGATATGAATGTGGGTAGTTTTCATCCTTGGATTCGGGGATTATGTTGAAAATTAGTTCTTTCTTTGAACTTAGTTTGGATTAAGAAATTTTCTATTGCGATGTTATCTCTGTAATGAAGCTGAATATTGTAAATTATAAGCTTGCATTTAAACTTTTTAAAGATTGAATCATTTAAATAAATTCAGAGCTTAATTGCTTTAGAAAATTTTCTTGAATCTATTAATTTTGTCGAAGGAAAAAAATGTTAGATTCTAGAGTGGATTTAAGCTTTTGGGCAAATATTTTGAAAGATTAACATGAAGAAGCTGTGAAGCCAGGGGAGGGGGGGGGGGGGGGGGGGCATCTTGGAGGTCTGTAAACCTAATTTTTATATGAACAAATTCTATTTTTAAATGATAGCCCGCCCCAACCACAGCCGTTCTTATAAAAATTCTAGCTTCGTCACTGTACACAGCAAGCATAATTAATTAAGGGTTTTGTTTTTCTCTCTCGCATTCTTTTGATGTTTGCCAGAAAAGAGAAGCTTCCAAATCCGCTAATGAATTAATCTTCCATCCAATAAAGCGTTTAAACAATTGCTGTCAATGATATAATCACTTGCCATTTTTCAACGTAGATACAAACAAGCTTGCTATTTCTTATTATCTACTGAGATTCATTTAACTAAAAGCTCTCTGATCTGCCTTATTCCTTTTTTTTGTTTCTCGTTCATTTTACTTCCCTTCTTGTCTATGTGAACGTCAGTGTAATAATCCATGAGTGAACTTACATGCCCCCGCAACCAGAAGATGGAAAAAAATGTGGAATGTAGAAAAACATCCAGCAACGAGGTTTATGCTGATAAAAAAATTACAGTAAATATTTTTTTGTCTCTACCCTCAATGCCTTCCTATTGTTATTGCCATTGCCGCTATGTGTGCGGCATTACGTGAATGAAAATGATAATTGGAAAACTTTTTTTTTCTTATTCATGCAGCTTCAATACAACAACTACTTTTCATACTGTATTATCCTCTTATGCTTTCACTGCTTGTTTATGAAATGACTGCCGAATAGAACTGCCACTTTTTTTATAAAGTGATTTTGCATGATTTCCATTTAATGGTTTTTTCCTCACTTACATACGCTGCTTTTACTACATCCTTTAAAGTTAGAATATAGCGTGGAAATTTCCCTCGAAAGAGGTGCTTCATTTTGCATGCAGAATTATTTTAAATATTTGTGTTGAATTAAATCAAAACTTCGAATGTGGAGTGAGTGCTTTTATGATTCATTTATTTGCATTTCATCTTCTCGAAAAAAACCAGCAAATTGCTGTGTTATTAAACTGGAAGTTCAACATATCATGTACTTTTTATATAAAACAGGTACTAAGAGGGCCATTGAGAGCTTTAAATCCTCTAATTTGTCGGCTACGAACATCCAAGAGATGGGATTCTCCATGTGATATCCAAAAATCAGCCTCAAAGCGTTCTCCATTAATCAAATAATTTTAATGCGACATCAAATTAATGTAAAATAAACTCACAAAGAAGTGTCAATAGCTTTACAGTCGATTTTAATTAATGAACTTTTCAGTGTAAAATGAACTGAATTAACACTTTGTAGTGGAAAATTCGATCATTTGTTGATTAAATGTGACTGATGGACTTGTTCAAACACATGGATGAATGGATGGCATCAAATGATTAAAATATTTGTATTTAACTTTGAGTTACTGATTTTACAATGTTTATTCGTGAAATTCATTTAGATTTCATGGGATAAATTCCAGGCTCGAAACTAGGCGATATACTGCCAAGTACTAGTTTTTGAGCCTGGAATAAAATATCAATGATAATCCTCTAATAAGGGATCGTGGCATTACGAGAGCCACCTTTTATATGCTTATCCTTTTAAAAACGTTACGGAATAAATAAACGGTTCTTTAGCAATTGAATGTAGAGTTCCGAAACAGGTCGCCTGTCACAGGTACAGGTGACAGATCTGTCAAATCTGTCCACAGATATAACACATCTGTGCCTGTGATATGCAAAAAAAATATTGCCTATATTATAGACCAGTGCTGTTTAAACTGCGTGCCACGGCACACTGGTATGCCGTAGATTTTTTTTGAAAATGACACGAGCTGCATGCTTTGTGCGACTTTGTTCAAGGCTTACCCCTAAGGTGTGCCGTGGCTCAAAAAGTTTGGACAACACTGTTACAGCTTAAAATAATTAATAATAACTCATGCATACTTAACATTTATTGTTGCTGCTCACAACAAGCAATTTTTATTTTACTCAATAGATAAATCTTCAAGATCTTCACTAGCTTGTGCAAAGTTCTAAAATGGTGCAAACAAGCTTCCTACATTAAAAGCTCAAGTGATATTAGAAGAGTGCTAGGCTTCCTATCTATATATCAAAAAGAAAAACAATTCTGTCACAAAAATGAGATCCTAAAGAGACAAAGCCTGTTATTCCATTTGACATTTGAATATTTTATTCAAAACTTTTCTGTTCAACAAGAATGTGCGTCAGTGAGAACATAAGTCTCAAAATATCTTCTTTAATTACTTAATTTTATCATTGTTACTTCCATTTCGGATAGGAATTTGTGTAATAATATACAATAGAACTCATCAGGGGTGCAGCCAGGGGAAGTACAAACTGTTAAAATTCTTTATCATAAAGACCTAGCAAACTGAATGAATTTTGTCAACTATGAAGTTTTTTAAGCCCCTCTGGAAACACCCCTGATACGCATTACATACAATAAAATGTTGAATGAATGGTGAATAGACTTGTTTATTAAATACACTAATTTACTGCCTGAAAATCCTTTCATTTAAAAATAATTTAATTTAACAAGTCATCACGAGAACACAGCATGGGATAAAAAAAATTCATTAAAAGACGGAAGTTTTTGACGTGAACATACATTTTTTTGGCGGAGGCACAGAATTAAAACATAAAAATAAATCCCACAAAATGCGATAAAAAAAAACTTTACAAAATCTCATTAACAATAATCATGAAAATTTCTCAGCTATGCTTTCCATTCTGTTGACACCATATTAAGTCATTCTGGTAATGAGGATGTAATAAAAGAGATTCTTAATGTAATTACAGTAATTTAATAAGAATCTGTGAATGGTAACCTGAACTAGCTTGCAATTTGATCAATTTTAATCAAAATGATGATTTGAAATTAATCTAGAGCAATTAAGTTAATATTACTGTTGATGCATAACTACTAGAAGGTGGGTTAGATATAATTTGAGTGTTTTTTGGACTGTTACTAGTTGTTGGGGCTACCCGAAATCTAACCTATTCATTATTATTCATTTGTCGACGTTATCGTCCGGAAGAATTCGTTTACATTGATATACAACTTTTTACATTGATTAGTGATACATTTCATATCACTATAGGTGATGTAGAATCAAGCTTCCAATCTTTAAATCTAGGTTTCGATTAAATTCAGGATCTCGTTTCATGTTCTGTGGGCGTGACGTGAAACATTTAAGATCCGTTCTAATAATATTCCAATTTAAAGTAATCGTGTAGCTCTTGTTCCTATTTCCCCCACTACACTTCAAGTTCCTGATCCGTTCCTTAATTCAACGTTGCCCAAATGCGCAATTATGGAAGTATCTAAACTCCTGAAAAAGAACACATTTGGAAATAACTGGATTCGAACCGACGACTTTCGAGTTACCATAACAAATTTGAGTCAAGTGCTTTACCTATTTGACCAGCAAGGCACTTAACTGCTTTAACCTCGACCAGCAAGGCACTTAACTTGAATTGAAAATCGAGGGTATCCCTGGTGGACATAGTTCCTAGATATAAACAATTGCTTAGCATTAATTCTGAACATGCCCCCCCCCCCCCCCCTC